GATCAAGATGTATTATCTTTTTGATGTGTTACTGGATTGGCTTACTAGTATTTTGCTGAGGATTTTTGCATCTATGTTAATCAGGGATATTGCCTGTAGTTTTCTTTTTTGTTGTTTCCTTGTCTGGTTTTGGTATCAGGGTAATGCTGGTCTCATAGAACAAGTTAGGAAAAATTCCCCTTTCAATTTTTTTGAGCAGTTTATGAAGAATTAATGTTAGTTTGTTATAAGTGTGGTAGGATTTATAAGTTTGATAAAGCTGTTTGGTCCTGGGCTTTTCTTTGTTGGGAGAGTTTTTTATTACTGGTTCAATCTTGTTACTTGTTACTGGTATGTTCAGATTTTCTGTTCCTTTCTGGTTCAATCTTGGTGTGTTGTATATGTCCAGGCATTTATCTATTTCCTCTAGGTTTCCAATTTGTTAGCATATAATTGTTCATAATATTCTATGATGATCCTTTGTATTTCTGTGATATCAGTTGTAATGTCTCCGTTTTCATTTGAGGATCCAGTCTCACTCCCCTACATATGGCTTGCCAATTATCCCAGCACCATATGTTGAATAGGGTATCCTTTCTCTACTTATGTGTTTTTGTTTGCTATGTCAAAGATCAGTTGGCTGTAAGTATTTGGCTTTATTTCTGGGGTCTCTATTCTGTTACATTGGTCTATGTGTTTATTTTTATACCAGTACCATGACCATTTTACCTCTTTTTATGTTTTTTTGACTTAAAGTCTATTTTGCCTAATATAAATAGAGCTACTCCTACTTGCTTTTGGTTTCTATTTGTGTAAAATATCTTTTTTCATCCCATCAGTTTCAATCTATGTGTCTTTACAGGTGAAGTGAATTTCTTGTAAGCAGCCTGTAGTTGTGTCTTATCTTTTTTATCCATTCAGCTAGTCTGTGTCTTTTAACTGGATATGTAAACTGTTTACATTCAAGGTTGTTATTGATAGGTGAGGATGTACTCCTGTCATTTTCTTATTAGTTTTTGATTGACTTGTACATCCTTTGTTTTTTCTTCCTTTCTTCTTGGTTACTTTTGTGATTTGGTGGTTTTCTGTAGTGACAACATTTTATTTCTTTCTTTTGTTTTTTCATTTATCTACTCTACCAGTGATGTTTATACTTTTGTGTGTTTTCATGATGGTAGACATCTTCCTTTAACTTCCAAATGTAGAATTCCCTTAAGCAGTTTGGGTCTTGAGAGGTGAATGAGATCCAGTGTGAATTTTCTCCCTGAAACAATGTAGTCACATGAACTCCAGGCAGCTCCCATACTAGGCTTATGGCCTGTAAGGGCCAAGAGGTTCTCCTGTGGCTAATATTATAGGTGTCCACGGTAAGAATGTGCATCACCGTGAATCTCTTGCTTACCATTTTCCCACAATGGGGAGTTCTTCCTGGAACTGAGCTGATCCCAGCCAGGCCAACTGCTCTCTTCCCTTTCCTTCAGTGCCTCAGAGGGTTCCTGTCACTTCTCTGATGAATTCCAATATTTTCTCTTAGACACTCTATTCAATATGTGGTTGTCCATTCTCTGTTTTGATCTTTCTTTGTGAAAGAGGTGAGTGTTGGGCATCTCTAGTCAGCCATGATGTCTCCTTGGTAGATGTTATTTATCATGTTGAGAAAGTTCCTCTACAATATCTAGCTTTCTGAGTTTTTAATCATGAAAGGGTGTAGAATTTTGTCAAATGTTTTTTCTAATAACTTAATAGAGTCATCTGATTTTTCTTCTTTAGCCTGTTATTGCAATGAACTATACTGACAGATTTTCAAACATAGAATCAGCCATGCATCCTCATTCTGCTCGTTTGGGGTTTATTTGCTATTTTTTCCTAGGTTTTTATTTTATTTTATTTTTTTGACACGGAGTCTTGCTCTGTCACCTAGGCTGCAGTGCAGTGGCATGATCTCAGCTCACTGCAACCTCTGCTTCCTCGATTCAAGTGATTCTCCTGTCTCAGCCTCCCAAGTAGCTGGGACTACAGGCACCCACCACCACGCGCAGCTAATTTTTGTATTTTTAGTAGAGATGAGGCTTCACCATGTTGGCCAGGCTGGTCTCAAACTCCTGATCTCAAATGATCTGCCCACCTCCAAAAGTGCTAAGATTACAAGTGTAAGCCACCGTGCCCAGCCTCTTTCTAGCTTTTAAAGGTGTGAGCTTCGATTATTGATTTGAAATCTTTTTTCTTAATGTAAGAATTTAGAGATTGAAATTTCCCTCTCAGCATTTCTTTAGCTGTATCTCACATATTCATTTGTGTGTGTGTGTGTGTGTGTGTGTGTGTATCTAGATCACAAGAAATTTGAGAATAAATAATACACTGCTAAATAACTGAAAGGCTTTTGTGCAGACACATTTATTTTTATTTCTTTGGGTATTCTCTAGGAGTGTAATTGCTGGATCATATGGTAATTCTATGTTTAAACACCTGAGGAACTGCCAGATTATTTTCCAAAGCAAAAATACCATTTTAAGTTTCCACTACCATATAAGGGTATCTCATTGTGGTTTTATTTGCATTTTCCTGATTATTCATGACATGGAGGATCTTTTCATATGTTTTTGTAGAAATATCTACTTAGATACTTTCTCTTTTTGAAAATTGAGTTATTTGTATTTTTATTACTGAGTTGTAAATGATTATCTATCTATCTATCTATCTATCTATCTATCTATCTATCATCCATACCAGTTCCTTCTCAGATATTATAATTTGGAATATTTTCTCCCATTCTGTGAGGTATTTTTTTTACTTTATTATCCAAGGTCATGAAGATTTATCCCTACATTTTCTTTTAAAAGATTTATAGTTTTAGCTCTTGCATTTAAATCTTTGATCCACTTTGAGTTAAATTATTTATATTGTATATATATATGGCTATCCAGTTGTCCCAGAATCATGTTGAAGAGACTATTCTTTCATCATCGAATGGTCCTAGCATGCTTGTTGAAACTCAGTTGACCACAGATGTGTGGATTTGTTTCTTGACTCTCAATTATATTCCATTGATGGGTACGTCTATTTTTATCAGTACTGAATTTTCCTGGTTACTATTGCTTCATAGTTAAGTATTTCTTTGGATATACCCAATAATGAGATTGCTGGGTCAAATGCTAATTCAATTTTAAGTTCTTTGAGAAATTGCCAGACTACTTTCCATAATGGCTGAACTAATTCCCACTAGCAGCATATAAGTATTCCCTTTTCTCCACAACCTTCCTAGCATCTATTTTTTTTTAACCTTTTTAATAGCAGCCATTCTGATTGATGTGAGATGGTATCTCATTGTGGTTTTGATTTGCATTTCTCTAATGTTTAGTGACGGTGAGTATTTTTTCATATGCTTGTTGACTATGTGTATACCTTCTTCTGAAAATTGTCTGTCCATGTCCTTTGCCTACATTTTCATGGGGTTGTTTGTTTTTTGCTTGTTAATTTGTTAAAGTTTTTGTAGATCCTTGATATTAGGCCTTTGTCAGATGCATAGTATGCTAATATTTTCTCCCATTCTGTAAGTTGTCTGTTTACTCTCTTGATAGTCTCTTTTGCTGTGCAAAAGCTCTTTAGTTTAATTAGGTTCCATTTGTCAATTTTTATTTTTGTTGTAGTTTCTTTTGGAGTCTTCATGATAAAATATTTACCAGGCCCTATATCCAGAATGGTATTTTCTAGGTTATCTTCCAGGGTTTTTATAGTTTATAGTTTTAGATTTTACATTTACATCTTTAATACATCGTAAGTTGATTTTTGTATGTAATGTAAGGAAGAGGTCCAGTTTCTTTTTTTTGTTTGTTTTTTTGTTGTTTTTTTTTGTTTTTTTTTTTTGTTTTTTTGAGACGGAGTCTCGCTCTGTCGCCCAGGCTGCAGTGCAGTGACCGGATCGCAGCTCACTGCAAGCTCCGCCTCCCGGGTTTACGCCATTCTCCTGCCTCAGCCTCCCGAGTAGCTGGGACTACAGGCGCCCGCCACCTCGCCCGGCTAGTTTTTTGTATTTTTTAGTAGAGACGGGGTTCACCGTGTAGGCCAGGATGGTCTCGATCTCCTGACCTCGTGATCCGCCCGTCTCGGCCTCCCAAAGTGCTGGGATTACAGGCTTGAGCCACCGTGCCCGGCCAAGAGGTCCAGTTTCAATCTTCTGCATATGGCCTGCCAATTATCCCTTACTAGGCAGTTTTTGTATGAGTTTGAGTCAATCTAGTTATTAGATGAACAGTACCCTAAGTTTGGGTACTGTTAATGCTGCGTTTACTTTCAATGCACCCAGGCTTCTAATTCCTCTGTTACCTTGTGCTCTGGATGGACTTGTTTGCAGGAGATTTTTCTCAATGGGTGCTTTACCCTCTGCTTTAGGTCTTTCCTTTGCATCTCCCCTTTGTCCTTCTTTGTATCTCCCCTTTATCAGTAGTAGACTGCTGTTACTTATTACTCAGGACCTGTTAACCTGTTAACCTGCAGGGTGTGTGTGCACGGGGAGCTCTGTTGTTATGATTCAGTCACAGTCTTAGTCACTACAGTCCAGGGTTGCAGAAGTGGAGACCTCTCAGTGGTCCTTCCCTTGGGCATCTCAGTAGGAGATCTCTAATGGTTTAGGCCCAGGACATTTTTTTATCCTTTCCCCAGTGGTACAAAAGGATTTTCTTTCTGCTCCTTTATCTGAGGAAAAGCAGATTTGCTGTTCTTTCCAGCTGCTTAATGTTTTGTTCCATATGGGAGACAGATGTGAAGGGTCTGGGTGGGGCTTTGGGCTTTTTCCAACAGTAGCTGTTGCCCACGTCCCCTAGGTCTGTACCATGAAGGAACCTTTCTCTGAACTCTCATCCTGATCCAACCTTTCTGAGAATCCAGTAAAGTCTGTGGAGAAGAGCCTGCATGTACATGTAAATTTCTTTTATGTCCATGGCTCTCTGGGGTTCTATATTCTCATGTTAGCCCACACATAGTCACTTTAGCAATTTGGCAAAAAGACTTTGAATTTTTCTTACCAGTTTATTTGGTGTCCAGCCTCTGCCCCAGGGAGGCATTTGCTCAAGGCTCACGTCTTCTTGGAGGCATCTGTTTTCCTTTAGATTTCAGATTAGCCAATTGTCCTGCAACTTCAGCTCTGTGATCAGTTCAAGAAAAGATTTTATTTTGTAGATTATACAACTTTAAATTTTTGTTTTAAGAGTGGAGATGACACTCTTTCTGAATTTTATCATCCTAAGCAGAAGCTGAATTTCCCTGGATGTATTTTTAATATAGAGCTCATAGGATTTGCTAATCTATAGAGTGAGAGAGACAGAGAAGTCAGGGATGTTCCCAAGATTTTGAGCCTAAGAGACTGGAATAATACATTGCCGTCAAGTGTGTTAGAAAAAGTAGCACATGGAGCACCTTTGAATGGGGAGATCAGGAGTTTAATTTTGAATATGTTGAGTTTTAGGGCTGTAATTGGAAACCCTATCGTCTCTCATAATACTTCTGTTTCTGAGTGTGATGCTTAAAAACCTTCTCTGTTCTTCAAAGCTCCAACTTTAGATAAATAGCATATTTTCTAAAGGAAAGGCTCCCTGCACTTCCAACAGGATTGCGAATGAATAATAAGGGTCTCCCCCATCTCAAGAAGGAAGAATAATGAGGACCTTCAGACATGCATTCATGAAGGTGGCACATGTTTCTAAGGACAGGAGTCTGGTTTCTTGAATATTTCCTCAAGAAGATAAGTTGCTATGCGAATAATGAAATTTTGTTAGAAGCAAGTATTTCTATTGTCTTCACAAATTGAGAAAGTCAAGGACAGTTGAGCCCATGGCAAATACCTCCAGGACCTTAGACCACTTAAGCAGAACATGGGAAGAGGCTGCAAAAACAAGTTGTGCCTGCATTAGCAACCACCCACCTCCAACCTACATAAGTAGTTGAAAAGTACAGAGAAGCAGGGAAAGGAAAGATCTTTGGAAGGAGTTGTTAAGGGCTGTAGCAATTTTCCTAACATCCTCAGGGTTAGGAGTAAGGGGGAAGCACCTGAAACCAAGCAAGAGAATGTTCAGACAACACTTCAGAGATTTTGACACTTATGCCAAGTGTTTGGGAGAGCAGAAGGGTTTGTACTAGAAGCTGTAGCTCCAATGGCCTAAGGAAGCAAAACAAAGAAAGAGGCAGGGCTGCACTGGGGGCAGCTGCACTTCCTCCAGGGGTGGGAAGTTCAGAATTCATTTGTAGAAGTTCCATGTCATTACACATGACTCTCCTATAAATACTGAGAGTCTCCATCAGCCAGCACAGTTTTCTGTGATGTCTGGCCACATCCCAGTCACTTCAAGGAGTCTGATCCATGTCGTTACAAATATCCCAGTGAAGGGCAAAATCAGCTTAGTTCATGATTTTTGCAAGTGAGAATGGAGTAAAAGCTAATCAGATCCAAGGTTTGGTTATCATTTGAACTCAACATTATGTTCTTGTCAACTGAAAAAAGAAAAGAAACTGATAAAAGACAACTGATAGAAGAAAAAGAATTTAGGCATACATTTTGCCCAAGCAGAACTAGTTTGGAAGGCTTTCAGGGAAAAGGCTTCTTAGAAGCATGAGACCAGAATGGGGAGCACTTGTGTATACATTTCCACTGAAGTTTTTCCATTTTCCTTCTCTAATATCTTCTTTTGTATAATTGCTTCTCTTTATATAGGCACAGACTCAGAGATTAGTCATTACCTTGGACTTAAACTATTTTTTTTTTTCCAAATGTATACATTTATAGGTTACTACCATTTTTCAGTGGCCTGAGGAAATCTACTATTTTGAAGTAAAGTAACATCATAGAGTATTTTATGTACCTTCATTGTCTTTTACTGGCTTGACGAAGCCAGTCACAGCCCCAACCCACTCTTATTTTTTTTCCTTAAGCAGATGAAAGGAAAGTTGCCCTTATTTTTTCTAGAAATCCATCTTCTGACATGTTGGAGGGGTTATGTATTTTGTTTTATTCTTGTTCAGTCTTTAGCTTAAGCTATGTCAAGGCTGTCTATAGCAGCTGACTTCTGCTTTCTGCTGGGTCTTCAATTCCTGTTCCTCCTGCCACAAAAGAATGGTTGCTGATGCTACTTTAGAAAGTGAAGTTATTTGCCTTTTCAGATAAAATAAAGACAGCCCTGAGGAGACTGCAGAATCTTTTCACATGGTGAATATAATAGGAAGAAAGGAAGTGAGGGAGGGAGGAAAAAAAGAAAGGTGGGAAGGAAGGAAGGAAGAAAGGAAGGAAGGATGGAGAAAAAAGGAAGGAAGGAAGGAAGAGAAAGAAAGAAAGAGAAGGAAAGAAAGAAAGAGGAAAGAAAGAGACAGAAAAGAGAGAGGGAGGGAGGGAAAGAAAGAAAGAAAATGAAGGAAGGAAGGGAAAGAGAAAGGGAAAAAGAAAGAAGGAAAGAGAGAAGGAAAGGAAAGAGAAAGACAAAGAAAGAGAAGGAAAGAGAAAATAAAAAAATAGAACTTTCTGTCTGATAGAACTAGACACTGCTCAAGGAGGCATGGGTGTGACTGTGACACAGGCTCTGGAACCACAGGATAGACCAGTGAACTCCTTTTTCTTGCCAGGTGAAGTCTGTAAGATTTTGATTTGTATGTGAGCCGGAATAGAATTGTGCCTTCAAATAAGTGACTTTTCTTTTTTTTTGTTTTTTTTTGTTTGAGGCGGAGTTTCGCTCTGTCGCCCAGGCTGGAGTGCAGTGGCCGGATGACTTTTCTAACTTTAGGTTATACATGGTGTGATACTAACTTAAAAATAAGTGCATTTTCCTTCAAAGAAACTGTTTCTTACATACAGCAATTTGTAACTTAACAACAGTGAGGTTCTTGGGTGTCTTGTTTTGCATTCCACAGGTAAAGAGAGCTGAATTTAACACTGGTTGCAGGAAAAAAATGCACAAGTGCATTTTAATTTCTCAAATTTCTTTTCTTGGATATGTAATTTTAAGTATATATGACACCGATTTAATAAATATCCTATACATTGCCTATATATAATGCCTCTTCTGGGGAATTTGGAAGTTACCGATGTTTTTAAGGAGCGTCAGTTCTCATGAATGAAATAGCTTGTGTACAGGATGATGAGCTATTCATTAAACATAATCATTGTGCAGGGAAGTAGCAGGGGTGGTGTTTTGTTCAGAGTTTGTATCAAAATACCCATTCTCTTAGGCTTAGTGTTCTCAACAAATGACTATATTTATAACATAAAATGTGAAGTTGTTTTGTAATTGGAAAAGGGGACAAAAACATGTACTGCCATTAGGAAATATCCTTTCGTGTTCAGCTCTGTCATAATTTTTTTTTAGCTCAGTTAATCTAACTGTATAAAATCTTTGTAAATTATGACAACTGTACCTTCTATTTCAAGTGGTGGAATGGTGCAGCTTATTTGGATGCAGTTAATAAATCAGGCACATGCAACAACCAAGTCCAAATGCATTTCTCATCACAGGTTTCTTAATTTAGTAAGAACATTATTTTTACCAATATAAGTAATTTTACCTTCAGTGTTGTACTTGTCAACTGAATTCAATATTAATCACAATAAAGTCAAATGCTTAAACTACCAGAGTGAATTTCCAAAAGACTTTTGATTTCATGAATTAAATGAAAAAAATTAAATCATGATTTTGTTTGAATCCCCTGATGGCATCATTTAACTGTTGACTTCTCTTAATGGAGCCAACACATTAACAACCGTTGCTTCACTTTTCACGTGTGCATAAAAAAACTTGGAGAAAGTAATGAGTATAATTAACTTAGAAGAACCGTCTTTTGATCTAAATGAAGTCATGCTTCATAGAGTAATATGTAGGCTCACCTTTTGTACCTCTCATTTTAATCATTATCTTTTAGCACCATCTTCTTAATGTAGCTATTAACTTTTGAAGTAGATGCTGATGGTTCTTGTGATTGGCAATCTGTGTCTTCTGATTTCCATCTAATCAAGCTTTTCCTAGGCTGCTGGCATGAGACTGCACTTTGCTTTATCACTGAGTGCCCCTCATGCTGTTCTCAAAAAGGAGGGTTAGCTACACTGTGACCAAGTGCTAAAAAAAAGCATTTTGCTCACTACACATATATCTCACAGCCTGTAAGGTGAGAGCATGGCAGAAGCTGCAAGTACAAAGTGGAGGTTTACTAAATCCACCCCAGCTTCATTTAATGCAATATTGACAATAATACTCTGTTAAAACAACAACAAAAAGGACAAATACCCAAACAAACAAAACATGAGGACAACAGGTATAACCCGAGACTGTTCCTGTGAAACCAAAGCATAGGCTGATCCATAGCTGATGATAAGGATGCCAGCTCTGTGGATTAACAAGTGGGAGGGACCAAAGGAATCCCAGAGGGAGGGGTTGGCCTTGGAGAGGCAAGAGAAATTCTACAATACTGGATAAGAAAAAGTGTCAGTAGGTCCACAGCACCTGGGAAAGCCAGAGATCAGTGACAGACAACGTGCAGTAAGATTCATTCAACGCTTAGCAATTTCCTGTTGTTTGCCAAGCATCAGGTATGACAATCAGTACTATTTATTCAGCATCATTACGTAACAAACACTTTATCTTATTTAATCTCCACAAAAGAGTGCAAGGTAAGTATTGCTACTTCTGGTTTATAGGGGATAAAACTGAGTGCAGGAGGGGCCATCTGACTTGCCCAATTCCTGGCCCCTCCCTCCTGTTCTGGGCATTCCTCCTCTGCCTCTCCCCATGTCTCTGCCTACATGAGGAGTAGATGGGAATGGTGACCTCCCATGTTAAAGGTATTAAAATCTGTGTGACTGTCTCTCCCACAGAGGTCTGATCATCGTTTTCTCCTCCCGTCAATTCTCCTCCCTTTCCAAATGACCCCTCCAAAAACACATCCTTGTTTAACTAAACCCATTTCCCCTACTGGCAAGAGAGAGGAAATGGGTTTTGATTGTGTTGCAAAAATGTCAGGGGTCCACAGCACACTTTGCATCTGATTCAATTTTATGTTTTATCATTTTATATTACTAGAGAGACTTTGTTTTTACTTTTTTAATTTAAAAAGAAAGAGGTTTATTTTGCTCATGACTGATGGCTGGAAAGTTCAAGGCTAGGCATCTGC